TTTTTTGAGACAGAGTCTTGCCCTGTCTCCCAGGCTGGAGTGCAGTGGCGTGATCTTGGCCCACTGCAAACTCAACCTCCTGGGTTCAAGCAATTCTCCTGCCTCAGCCTTCAGTGTAGTTGGGATTACAGGTGTGTGGCCACCACATCCGGCTAATTTTTTGTATTTTTAGGAGAGATGGGGGTTTCACTGTGTTAGTCAGGATGGTCTCGAACTCCTGACCTCATGATCCACCTGCCTGGGCCTCCCAAAGTGCTGGGATTACAGGTGTGAGCCACTGAGGCTGGCCACTTAGTTTTTCTTTTCTTTTTCTTTTTTTTTTTTAAGAGACTGGGTCTTGCTCTGTCGCACAGGCTGGAATGCAGTGGAGCAATCACAGCTCACTGCAGCCTCCAACTCCTGGGCTCAAGTGATCCTCCCATTTCAGCCTCTTAAGTAGCTGAGACTATAAGCATATATCACCGTTTAAAATTTCTTAAATTTTAATTTTTAACATTTTTTGTAGAGACAGGGTCTTGCTGTAGATACCAGGCTGGTCTCAAACTTCTGGCCTCAAGCAATCCTCCTGGTTTGACCTCCCAAAGTGCTAGGGTGACAGGTGCAAGCCACCACAGTGCCCTGGATTGCAAACTGCTTGCCAGAGCCATGCCTAAAAGTACTCCAGAGAGGAATTTGGATTTGTAACTGCGCAGAGAGAAAAATTGCTTTAAGCTAAAATTCAGGAAGGATTTGGTGGCAGCAGCAATTTTGGAAGGCAAGAGGAACCTGAGCAGATTCCCCTCAGGGTCTTACAGAAGGAATGATGGTGGGTGGGCGTGAAGGCCACCCAGGTGCCAGGAGACAGGGAAGTGGAATGGGGAGCCTAGGGGATACTGGTGGTATGGATCTGATTAGAGGAGGTGACATCAGTAATCATTATCAGAGAATGCTCTGTACCCTAGTTTGCTAGGAAAAGATAATGAGTATTAATGAATGCACTTCTGGTAGCAAAGGACTTTGTTTCTATTGTGAGTTATTCTGGTATGCATGACCTCAAAGCAAGTCACAGCTCACAGTGGGCTCCAGTTTCACCATCTGAAAGTCTTATCATGCCGTGAATAAACCATGAATAACCTGCCTCAGTAGGCCAAGCATCTTGGAATCTGTGTTATTGTTAAGTTTGCAGTGCCAGCTGTCCTGCCAGTGTAATCCCCAAATCCTTGTTGAGATTTGCCTGGCCCATCACTACAGAAGCACAACAGAGCCCCAGGAGGACAGGGCAGGTGGGAGATCCAGGCTCTGCCCTCACAGATGGCTCAATGCAGAAACCGCCTTAAACTCCAGGTGGATCTCCTCTCCCCCCACCAAGGCCTGGGGCTTCCAGGAGGTGTTTGTCCACCAAGTAGCAACACCTTTTTGTGCACTCTGGCTATGAGGCCAAGCCCAGACCTATGATCCTTCCCTGAATGTGCCGGAAAGTCAAGGCAGGGGCCTGAGGAGGTTCCACTTTTCTTAAAAGCAGCTCACTCTCACGGCAACCACGAATGAGCACGTTTACTAGTGTTTCGCCGGTGAGGAGATGTTCCATTTCCATGAAGACTATGTGATCGGGGTTTGTTGAACAAGCTCGTGCATTTAGATTCTGTCTGTGCGACAGTCAGATGTCAGTTCTAACTTGTAATCTAGTCTTTATGTCTTTTAAATTCCTAATGGTAACTATGTAGCCACATCTTCAAAGCAGGGGTAAAAATCAGAACCGAGCCTGTAACTGACACTATCAGAAAGAGCCACAGGAAGATTCGGTCTAGAACTTGAGCGACGAATTTCCAGTCTTGTACCACCTGCAAAAGAGAAAAAGATGCCCTTCAGTCAAGACACTGAGCAACTGTCCTGAATTCATCTCAAGGGATTTTAAAAGAGTAACATTCAGATTTACAGCATTTACTTAAGCTTTCAAAAGCATCTAACATCCCAACCACAGTACAAGCTGAGGGTCTTTCAGGGACTTCCCTAATTGTGCCCAAAGCAAACAGCTTGGAACATTCATCAGCACTGAAGAAGAAAAATAGAAACAGTAGAATTCTGTCTGCGTATGTAAACATTCCTGATCAGAATGGGAAAAGTCTGATTTTTTACATGAATAAAAAGCTAGGGTGCTTCCTGATACACATAGGAAAAGAATCACAAATTTGTAATTTAGGAGTTTGTGTGGCCAGCTGTCACAGCCTTTCTTTTCTTCCACTCCAGCTGTGCTGCAGTTCCAGAAGGAAGGGCACGGCCAAGGAGGAGAACCCAACAGGACAAGACAGAAATTCATGAGGGAGGGAGGACACCGAGTCCCTTTATTAGGAAGCGGAGGTGCAGCGAGTGGGCAGCAGGTCCATAAACATGAAGTCAGAGCACGAGCAAGCTATCAGGCTGCGGAAGTCTGAAAGGAAGGGGAGTTCTCATCCTTCTAGAGAAAAAAAATGTCCTTGGCCCCGGGGCAGGGGGTGGGGGTGAATGGGGGGAAGAGCTATTTAAATTTTTGTATTAGTTTATTTATTTATTTATGAAATGGAGTCTTGCTCTGTAGCCCAGGCTGGAGGGCAGGGGCGTGATCTCGGCTTACTGCCACCTCTGCCTCCCGGGTCCTGGTTCAAGCATTTCTCCTAACTCAACCTCCCAAGTAGCTGGGATTACAGGCACAAGCCCCCATGCCCAGCTAATTTTTGTATTTTTTAGTAGAGACGGGGTTTTACCATGTTGGCCAGTCTGGCCTTGAACTCCTGACCTTGTGATCCACCTGCCTGGGCCTCCCAAAGTGCTGGGATTACAGGTGTGAACCACCACACCCGGCCTATTATTTATTTATTTATTTACTTATTTATTTATTTATTTAGAGACGGAGACTTGCTCTGTTGCTCAGGCTGGAGTGCAGTGGTGCAATCTCAGCTCACTGCAACCTCCTCCTCCCAGGTTCAAGTGAGTCTCCTGCCTTAGCCTCCCGGGTGGGACTACAGGTGCGGAAAATACAAAAAATGCCAAGCCAATTTTTGTATTTTTAGTAGAGACATGGGTTTCTCCATGTTGGCCAGCCTGATCTTGAACTCCTGACCTCAGGTGATCTGCCCACCTCGGCTTCCCAAAGTGCTGGGATTCCAGGCGTGAGCCACTGCGCCTGGCCTGTATTAGTATTTTTTAAAGATGTAAAGAAACAGACAAATAAATCTCCCAACTTGACAGCTGAATGATTGTCTAGCAGCAGTCACATTTCTAGTGCTTTAAAAAAATTTTTTAAGTGGATGAAAAACATAACAGATTGTTAAGAGAGAGGATATATGAGGCAGTGTCTGTGAATGCAAGATAAAATATAGAAGGATAGTTCTAAAAAAATTCTTTCATCAGCTTGTTTACAGGATCAGGCTCTTGGCACTAATAATCTTCACCAATTTTAGAGTAAAATAATTAAACGCTATAAACTCAAGTTATATAAATTGAAAATATGGACATGACCTCTGATGTCCTGGAGTTCACACCCTAGCTTCTGTAACTACAGTAAAAAGGTTTTAAGAAGAGAGACTCGAAGATGGCTGTTTAGGAACAGCTCAGGATTGCAGAGCCCAGTAAAAGAGCAGAGGGTGAGTAGATGCCACATTTCCAGACAGATTTTTATGGCCTGCAGACCAGGAGATCCCCAGGCGGAGGAGCCCCACGGGTCACCAGTGTGACTGTTTTGGCTGGCGCGGCAGATTCAGCCCCTGAGGCTGCTTTGGCCCATGCAGCTGCTTTGCGGCACTCCCACACGGCAGTTCTCTGTACAAAATATACTGGTCCGGGTGCCCTTTTAGCTGGCGATTGGAGCTCCAGGAAGGCGCAGTCGCCCATTCATCTGATTTAAAAGGAGACTGAAATAGCGAGCCAGGCCGGGAGATTCCCGGGCAAAAACAAACGAACAAAAAAAAAAAAGGCCCACGAATATCAGTGCCGCTGTTTCAGCCAGTGCAGGGAGTCGCCGCAGGGGAAATCACATAGACCCCGGCGCCTTTTCAACAGGTGACTGGAACACCTGAGAAAGAGTTCACTGTTCAACTAAAATACGAAAGGGTCTCAGGCAGGGGGCCAGGTGATCAGGCTTGGCTGGTCCCACCCCCACAAAAGAACAGCAGTCAGAAACTCTTTGGATTGAGAGTTTCACAGCAAGCGCAGCTGAACCCGGGACAGTACTGCTCTGTGGCACCCTGCCAAGGCAACCAGCCATTACAGCGAGAGTCTGCCATTACAGAGGTGGGCCACCATTGCCCCCGAGGCAGTTCTAACTACACCCATATAAACAGGACTGCAGGGAAGATCACACGACAGCTGGGCGGAGCCCACAGCAGCTCAGCAAAGCCTCTGCAGGCAGACAGTGACTTAGGCTGCCTCCTTGCTGTGCAGGGCAGCCCTGAAAAAAAAAAAGGCAGCAGCACAGCGGAAACCCATAAATAAAGCCCTAACTCCCTGGGACAGAGCACCTGGGGAAAAAAAAGGTGTTTATGAGTTCTGCTGCAGTAGACCTAAACGTACCTGCCCAGCAGCCCTGAATGAAAAACGGAGCTCACAGCTCAGCACTTGAGCACATGTAAAGGACAGACTGTCTCCTCAAGCAGCTCCCTGACCCCTGTATATCCAAAGAGTCACCTCATAAAGTAGAGATCAGACTGACATTTGGCAGGTATCCTTCTGGGATAAAGATAGCAGAAAAAGAAACTGGTAGCAACCGTTACTGTTCTGCAGCTGCTGCAGGTGATCCCCAGGCAAGCAGGGCCTAGAGTGGACCTCAGCAGCCCTGCAGCAGAAGGGCCAGACAGTTAGAAGGAAAACTAAGAAACAGAAATAACTTCATTATCAACAAACTGGATGTCCACTCAGTGACCCAATCTGAAAGTCAACAACTGCAAAGATGACAGGTGGATAAATCCACAAAGATGGGAAGAAACCAGCCCAAAAAGGATGAAAACACCTGAAACAAGAACACCTCTCCTCCTACAAGGGATCACAACTCCTCACCAGCAAGGGAACAAGACTGAATGGAGAATGAGTGTGATGAAATGACACAATCAGGCTTCAGAAGGTGGGTAATAAGGAACTTCAGTGAGCTAAAAGAACATGTTCTAAACCAATGCAAAGAAACTAAGAACCTTGAAAAAAGATTTGATGAAATGCTAACAAGAATGGACA